ATAAATATATATGCCAATGTATATATGTATCCACAATACAATCAAAGGAACCGAAATAAAACAAAATAGAATAAATTAGAATTTCACTGCGGCAGAGCGGCTGAGCGACCGACCGAACGGCTGAACGGCAGAGCGGCCAAGCGACCGGCTTGCATTTTGAAATGCTCCCTAAGTTGTAATCGATTGTCAACAATTCTTTGTTGTGTAACACACTCACAAGAAGTCAAACTACCACGTGCTTTACTGCTCAGAAAACATCTTCGGCGTCAGTTCATACTTCTCAGCTATTATCTCCAGGAGCTGGTGAGTTACCAAACCAACATCCCACAAATAAAAACGCCAATTGCTGTTAATAATCCTGTACCTTTTTCTTCACCATCTAATGCTTCTCTCACGACAGTTAATTCTAACACTGGACAACAAATTCTACTATCGACTATTTCAGCATCGAACAATACAATAATTAATAGTCGAATTTAACAACATGACTTGTCAGTACAACAATACGATGTTCAGATAAATTTGTTATTATAAAAGCATCAAACACAATATTCTTCATCTCATTTATCTGATAATTCATGTCCACTTCAGGCACCATTGGTATATATTCCACCTATTCATAATAACACACACAGCCATTGACACAACAACAAATATCAATTATGAATTCATCTTCAAGTCCATCAACATCCCCACTCATTCCCATCTAATCAAATTTACAACACAATCATTCAAGTAAAGAAATACATGTTATGGTTTGTGATAATTTATTACATAATATGAAGTTGATATCTGTTGATAAAATAAAAGTACGGTTAGGAGCAATTGCAGAATGTTCAGTTGACCTTACAACAGAGTTAGGTCAATACAATCAATTGAACTATTTGTTAATTGATTCGGATATGGTAATATTGTTTATTGGTACAAAGAACTATCTGTGATTCATGAAAAAGTTGAGATAACAATTAACAAATACGAAAAACTTAACGTCAGTTATTAAAAACAAATATTCAAACAGAAAATGTCTCAATATGATACCTGAACTGATGGTACATCCGACAATTCGACAGTTTCGCTCGATCGACGTAATCTTCGATATTATAATTAAACAAACTCACATCTTTTGAATAAATGTGCTGAAGTTTACATATGAGATGTTCTGGAAGAGTTTCATATAGTTTTTTGTACATATCGTCTTTTCCCACCGTTGATCTATTACTATTAATCATTTTTATTTGCCATTCTTTTGTATCTGCTCCTGCTAATTTAAGTAACAACTGCATATCGTCTGCAATCGTTTCATATTTTCCAATAAAATCATATTTAAATGTACATACTTTGCATAGATGAGAATATGGAGCCCAATGAACATCTAACTGTACACCGGAACGATAATCGAGAATATACTCAACGAAATGTTCGAATGTTGGTATAACAGTTCTACATGGATCATTGAGAGGATTAATTTTACGTTGATGACGCAGCCACGGATGTTGCTGCTGGTAAAATGTTAACTCACTTGTATTTAAATATTGTTGAGCAAATTTTCGACATATTCCTCGGCGTACATCATCATACATGGATACTTGAATATTCCTTGCACCTTGAGCTGATGGAATTCTCAATGTAGCTATTTTATCATAATAAGCGGATGCCAAACGGTTAAATGGATGACGAACAAACAGTACTTTCGTAGCATCGTGAATAAAATTTATTGTGTGTTGATCATTGATATTTTTCAGTTTAATAAGTGGTAAAACGTTGTTCTGATGTAAATGCCATAAATCGTCTGGTTGATCAGAATAATTTAGTAAACTTTGTTTAAATGCATTCAACACTTGCAGCTGAGTATCCTACAACACAGTATTTGCATTATTTCAAAGAAAACAGCATATACAATGAGACGCGTGAAAGAAAAAAAAATGGTAAAAGTACATTAGAGTCAGATCTTTACCGAAAAGTGTTCGTAATTGAATCAATGTGATAAAAATAAATATATGACGGCGGGAGAGGATATGAGGCATAATGAAACGTTCTTTTTCTCTTTCAATGTCACAATGGAATAAATTGAGAAAAAGATTGAACGAAATAACCTGAAACTCTGTTTGTTCTTTTTCTTTCTCTAAAGAAACAGCAAAAAAAAAAATCTATTTTTTTTCACTCAAACCATTTTGAGATTCAAAATCCTTGTGTATATATGCTGAATTATTTAATTGTATTTACATAACAAATGAGTACATTATGCGGTTATTCAATTTTATTTATCTTCTTACCTGTCCATTATAGTTGTTCGTGACGCTATTCAAGGTCAACTTCTTTTGTAAAAATTGCAAATCGAACAATAATCCTTGTCTTGCAAATTCACTCTTGACCAATTCATTCTGAAGTGTAGAACTATTGCTGATATAGGCAATAAGTTCTTCAATATGCAGATAGGTGAAAAAGTTCAACAGTGTTCTAGTGGCGACTTTTGGCACAGAACAATAGAATAAATTCTTACTACGTAATGTAAATACAAGATAATTAAGAATCGAAACTCTTTTCACGTGTGCTAACGACGGTAATTGACTATTTGTTGAACACTCTTTGTTTAGAACATTTATACGCATTTCATGTGTCAATGGTCTATAGTTACTTTTCTGAAATACATTGACGTTATTGTCTAAGATTAATGCGTCATTTATTTCATTTATCAATGTCTTATTACGATGGATGAGTTTCGTATCAGTAGAAATATTCGTAATTGGCATAGCCATCCTGCCAAAATAAGCTATTGTCACTGGAACAGCCACCAATTGACCACATTCACTTTTGAAACGGCACAGCTTTGTCACTAGAAGAACGGCTATTATTGTACAGAAAAGAGTAGACTAAATGTCCTTTACCTGTTATACAGCTAATGATTAAGATCGTTAACAATACTACATACATACAAACTGTACTGAACTGTTTACGATAATGAACTAGTTGCATCATGTAGAAAAAGATGTAATTAATATAATTCCTTAAATTATAAGTTTAAATCATATTCATTTTAAGGAGAACGATGAACGCATCATTGAATTGATATACGAAAATAACGCCATTCTTTCTTTTCTCTTTCTCGAAAAACAATCTTTATATAAATAGAGGTTTTTCAAAAAGAAAGAAACAGAAAAAGTTTGTACTAGAAGCACTGTTAAATGAACACACATACGACGTAGTATAAAATACAATGATGCAGAGGATTTTTGAATCTGAAAAAAATTAATGTTATTTTGTTTGTTCGAGAATTGTGTGAGATTTATCACTTGTATTATGTTCTTCCCTTCGACGTACATTATAGATTAGTGTTTTTGAAGCAATGATACCCATGTATGTCAGTCATTGCCAGCATTTCATTACGTCTCGATAATAAATTAATGACAGAGAGGAAATAGTGAATTATAAACGATAGTTTTGTTTGATTGGATACATCGATCTGTCGGGTTTACGTGTTGCTCTGAATACTAATAAATACCGACAATATGATACAGTAGTCTGTTTGATGATGGAATGAACAATATATTTCACCGATAATTATTTGATTATGGAGAAGTAAAAAGTTCTATTCTGTAGAGTTTAAGAGTATTTTTCAGAAGTTAACGATGACGGATTTTGAGAAAAGCTATAATAGTTATAATTTGGTTTACAAGCTAACACTAGAGTTAAAATGTACAATTAGAGGTTTCACCTTAGTTTCACGTTAACTGAGCACCGTCTCCTACGGTCTTTGTTGTATAACCGGGTGAATATAAGAGCAAAAGTAAGGTCAACAGGAGTAGCATGGAGGAATAAAGTCCCTATGAATTGTGTCAGAAGAGTATAAATCTTACGAACAGGCAAAAAGAAACGAAATGGAAGTAAGTCTTTCTTTATGTACTAAATGCTGAAACAACATCATCTTTGTCGTAGCAAAAGTTAAATGAAGAAAAGTAAAATCATTTGTAAAGCCTGCGGGTGGTAATATATTTTACTCTTTTCCTTTTTTGAAACACGTCTCTGTTACTTAGTTTTTTTAATAGTAACCCTTCATTAATAAGTGTGTTAATCATTTTTAGCAGCTAATTTCATTTAAATTGTTTTAATTAAACATGAGTGTTCAAATCAGTACAATTCATCATGTACAAGCTGTGAAAATGCATAGAGGTAGATATATATATATAGGTTTGTCAAAGAAAACCCGAATTAAACTGAAAACCCGAGTAAACGACATAGTATTGCACGTGTCAGATTACTACAACAGCTAAAAGAAATTTTTTAAACTCTTTCATCACTATCAACCATCTTCTGCTTCGTGATTTCTCTCTTCGACAAATATCGATTACGAACTTGTATAAACTGTACAAAGTCGTATATGAGTTTATTCATGTGACAAACAGATTTGAGCATATCCGATTATGTGCTTCACTCACCGCACACGACATCTTCCATTTTATGTTCTTCCTATTTACAGACACTGACTCGACTACATTTTAAATTTCTTTTTAAATTTTATTCATGTTTTTATCTTTTACGTTTTCTATCTTGCTCACACACCTTCCTCATCCGAGAATTGTGGACCTACAATGCCATTTGGCGATTGGTCTGCTAATAAACGCGTTTAAATCAAATTAATTTTGGATGCAAAATAAGCGAGTTAGACTAGTGTTTGCTTTTCACATACTTTTCAAACACTTATTCCATTATGTAAGAAACAACTGACTTGTCATCCTTCACTATTATGCCTCATTCAAGGATAAGAGAATCATGCAAATGCAAATGTAAAACTCATGACTGTTTGTATAATAAGTAAAAATGATCACATTGAAAGAACAGAAAAAAAATTCTTACTGATCAAATTATTCCTTGGCAAGAAGTGCAGTTCTTTTCGACCTTGAACGGCTGATTGATGTAGTATGCTTATGCTATACGTCTTTTTGTTTGTTAGTTATCTGTTCAATATCTTAACGAGAACTCATATTTGAAAAGCTGAAAAAATTCTCTAACGATAAAAGTATATGCATACTGCCATCCAGGTCTCCAATTCAGAATTATATTCCATAAAAATACTGCTGCCTACTACTCCTACATGGAATGATATTACTAACATTATCGTTTTAGTAGATGCTTACCACCTTTTAGTTTTCGAAAAGTTCTTCTATTCGCTTTTCTTGTTCACGGCTTTTGAAGAACAAGATTCAGGAAAGTGTGATGTGGCAAGAAAGTCAATCCATCTCTTGATTTTGACGGAACTTTCAAGATTTCTAAAATTTGATTTATTATCATAATTAAAAAGGGTTTTGTTCAGAATTTCAGTGAATGTTCTCAACGTCTACAATCTATTGGTATCATTCAATTTAGTTATGCAACCTGAAAAAGCTTCACACGAAAAAAGAGTGTGTCGCAGTACAGTAAATCGTACTTCCTACGGGAAACGTGTGTCCTAAGACTTTGTATCGCACTGTTTATGTCACCGTTGTCAAGATGGATTTCCGCGTCTGGTAAGGGAGGCAGTTGCTGGATGCTCTGGTAACTTATTTCAGCCGATAAGTCGGACAAGCAGAGAACAATCATACTTTGAGAAGAAAGCAGTTTTTTAGCGAAGCGTATACACCAAGCCACTTCGACCACACGCTTTACAACCGTCAACCGTGGTCACTCTGTTTCCAGTCAACTCATCAATCGAGGACACAATATCGAGGACATTAACAAGATCTTGTGCAATTCGCTTGTGGTAGATATACTTGTTTCTTTCTTTAATAGTGCAGGAAGTAGTAAACACTGGAAGTATGTAGCATTTTTCCCTAGTCGGTTTACTTCTTGTCTATAACAAAAATCGGGCTTATAATAAATGGTAAAAGTGAATAGGCCGTCGTGTAGAGAATTGCATGCTCTGTCGAAATATATATAAATTAAGGTGCGACCCGACTTTTAAGCATACAAAAAAATAAAAATTTTGTGAACCTGTATCCATCCCATTATGTATGTGGCTTTATAAAAGTTTTGTCTGTTATTTTTTAACAAACAGCAGTAAAGAAATAATTTGGATATCCTTCAATGCAAGTTTTCATCTTCTATCTACAAGTGGTCCAATGAATCTTATTTACTGTTTTAGTCAAGCGAAATAATTAAATTACTAGTTGGATGGGGTAGCAAGATGATGATGGTGGAAAAGTAATCTTTTTCACCCTTTTTTTTAACTTTCCCCCTCGGGAATGACAGAGAATAATAGAAGTGTGTCTTTTCTAAGAAATTCGGTCATTGGAAATGAAAAAATCTGAGCGGGTCGATTCTCTCTCTAATGAACCCGCATCCTTTCCTAATATTCATACACAGCCAGAAGTAGAATAAAAAAGTTTAGAGACTTCAAAAGCTGTGACTGGAACAAAATAAGAACATCTTTTTCTTTTTCTCGTTACACAATATGGATAATGCTTAAATATATTAATAGATATGTACACATGATATGCACTGCTGATAAAATAATTCAGTCATTTTCAAATTAGCTCATACACAAAATGTCCTATTAAAAGACGTTGTTGGCAATTCGAGCAACGAGCATGTGCCATTAAAAGACAAAGAGAAACGTGATTTTTCATTTTTTCGCCCAAGTAAACACCATCACGTTCTTTGTCGACAACGTGATAAACCATTTTTAAAAAGTACAAAATTTTTTTCTCACTTGGTTTCTTCTAGGCTGCGTTATAGTCGTAATAAAGTTGTTAAAGAGTTGAGACGATGTAAACAAAAATATTCCAGTAAGTTAGCTAGTAGCTATAAAGTTCTCTCAGATATTTTGGAAGGGCATTTATTAAGTGCGTGATGATAAGACTGATCTTCCGACTACGGCGCTGTTTGACGATAGAAGTACGAGTGACGATGTATCAAAAGCAAATCATTTTTAATCATTTCTTTTGAAAATGTTTTTCACATAAAACTGGTCCAGGGTCAAAACCGACAATTCCTATTCACGAAACATTCATTATAACACTTCCTATAAAACAACAAATTTACCAGAGTATTGTTTGTTTGAGAAACGACATAGCATGTTGGTGTTACCATTAAATACGTGAAAAAGTGTGCCAATGAACTAATAGATTATGCTGATCATCTATTTACTCTTTTAATTGAGAGCGGTATTCACCCTTCTGGATGTAATGTAGTCCCAGTACAGTAGTCTCATCCCAGTACGTTGATGTAGCCCTAGTACAGAAGAAAGGATTAAGAGCATGGTAGATAAATATCGGTCGGTGTCATTGTCGTCAATCCTGAGCAAGATATTAAACAGGCAAACAATTCTGCACCTGATGCATTGTTTAAAAATGACAAAATCGATGTAATTCGAGCTCAAAACCGTCGACAATAGCCAATGCTGAAAATGCTCGAAACACAAAAAATACTCTAAATAATTTTTTATCGACGTCAGACTATTTCCAATCAATTTTTCAGTCAAGATTAAGTATAGAAAAACCTTTTCCTCCTTGAA